CAACATGATGCTGGGGATATAAGCTGACATCCTGTGAGGCATGACTACTTCCTGGTGGAAAAGCTCAAAAAGCAGCTCCTCGGTCACTTTCGTTTCGAGGTTGCCCAGAGAGAGTGCGGTCCGCAGCCGCAGCCCCCATCTCAACGTCTCCCCCTCCCCACCCAGGCGGAAGGGTCGTGGGCGACAGAGTGTCTGAGCAAACTCGAAAACCCCACGTCCCGGCGTGCCGGCGTCGTGACGTAAACGTCCTCGATGTTGTAGATCTTTGTGTTTAACAAAGTTGTTTAAGGTGCTGATATTCTGAGGGGAAGAAGGGCAACAAATAAGTTACAGATGTATACACAGTAGGACATAGGTAGCAGTGCAGATGTGGCCAGCTCCCCAGAACCACACCAGGTACAACCAGCCCCAAGAATGGCACAGAAGCACTGTGAAGAAGAAGAATCTCTTGAGCGTGTAGATCCCAAGTTCCTGAGGAATATGTTTTACCCAGAAGCTCCTGAAGAATGAGGAAGATTCAGGCAAACAATACTGAAGCCATGAGTGCACATGCAGAGATCATCAGGGTCCTCATAAGTCCAGAGAGTTGAGCCCAAGAACTCAAGGCTGTCAGTCACAAGCTCAGTCAGTTTACCTTCGTTGCCCTCCATGGCCGTGGAAGTATATTCATGCCCATGTTGCCAAGGGTTGTGGTCTCGCCAGCCAAAGGGCTGGGCTCAGGCTCCCTGTGGTGCCCAGAATCCCATGAAAGGGCCACAGTAAAGGTCTTTGCCAGTGGGAGGACAGAAGGTCTGATGTGACTCAGGACTGCAGGAGACAGGTGTCTTCCTGTACTCTTTCTACATTAACCCTGATGCAGAGAGGGGTGTATGTATGGCTAGCCATCTCACATTCAAATGACTGTACTGTTATTTTTTAAAAATGATTCAGGAAAAAATAAAATGGATTCAGGTTATAACTTAGGGTTACGGTATCCATATAGCAGGCTAGAGGCCCTGAGTTCAGTCCACAGTACAATAAAATTAAAAACAAGAACTTGCAAGTGTTGATGAGGATGTAGCAAAATTGGAAACTGTGTGCTGTTGATGGGAATTTAAATGATACAGCTGCCATTGAAAACAGTGTGATGAGGGGCCCACAAGATAGCTCAGCAGACTAAGCACCTGCTTAGGCAAGCGCAGGGGCTGGGACATGGTAACACATGCCTGTAATCCCAGCTGGGGAGGCTGAAAACAGGAGGATGAGTATGAGTCGGAGCTGCATGGTGGGACCCTGTACTGAAAAAAGAAAGAAAATAGTGTTTTGGATCCCCTAAAATTAAGGATACAGATAATCCTCATTAACCACTTTTTTTTTTGTTTGCTTTTTGGGGTACTGGGAATTGAATTCAGGACCTTGTGCTTGCCAGGCAGGTGCTTATGCCGCTGAGCTATATCCCCAGCCCTCCTCATTAACGACCTGTCTAACTGTTCCAATTAAGATCTGTCTATGGGTCTTAGCCCCCATCAGGTTTTTGTTTTTGGTGTAGTCCTGTACATCTTGTTTATAAAGCCTCAGTGGTTTTTTTGTACTATATAGTGCTATATAGGTTTTTTGTTTTTGAGACAAGATCTCACTGTACTCCACCACACCTGGCCTTTCTTCCTTTTGGGGGAGATTATGTTCTGACATGTGTTACAGCACTCCATGTAAGACATGGAAATAAAAGCAAAGTCGAGTTGGAGTT